CTCGGACCGTTATTCCTCTCTTAACGAATTTGACAGAATCGTTGTTTGCATGACGTCACACTGGTGCAACTTGTTTACGTTTTCCTTGCAACATTTTTTCTTCTTCTTCCATTCTTGCTCACGCTTTGGCATTTCTCTCTCGCAATTGCACCAGTGTGACGTCACACAAAAGTTATTCTCAAAAATCCTCTCTGATCGGCGCAATCTTGTATTCTATCATTCTTGCTATATACCTACATATCTAGTTTCAACATAAAAAAAATTATGTACGCATCATTAATTGTCTATACATACATATGTATCTAATTCAATATATGTGATATATATGTACATACATCTACATATCGTCGTTTAAAGTACAAAACCGTGTATCAATAAAATGCAAAACCGCGTATCAAGATAAAGCAAACCCAGCGAGGTTGCATAAATTATTTTCTAGAGAGTGAAAACACTCATATTTCAAAATGGTTTATCTTTTTTTAAAAAGCAATCGCATTTTTGGCTAGTATGTTTCAGGAAGAATGGATAAGGATTGAGGCAAGAACTTGTGTGAGCAAATCCAATTTTTAGCAGCAAATGTCAGTTACGCGGTTTTGTACTTAAACGACGATGTTTATATTAACAGGAACGCTGCAATCTAATACACGGGTGAAGCAGGTACGCAGCACAGCAGAAGCATAGAAACAATCTGCAAATGAATGGCTTTTTAGGTTTTTAACAAACAAAAACCTGGTTTCAACTTACTTCAACGTGTCTAAAGCACAACGCACACACTAATGCAAAGGCGCAACAGGAACGCAACACTATAAAACACGGGCGGAGCAATACACGGGCGGAGGAACGCAGCACAGCAGAAGCGTCCACAAAATCTGCGAATAAATGGTTCATTAGGTTTTGAAATAACAAAGAGTTGGTTCCAACTTACTTCAAAATATCTGCAGGATGATGCACACAATCAAATTCGGCCGCAGCTGCAGTTCACCAGAGAATGCTGCAAATGGAATGGTTCATCAATGAAGTCAAAATAATATGTTGTAACTTACGTGTATTAGCTCTTAATTACAATACCAGCACAGGTCGGCCAGGAAAACACTAAGGAAATTACCTAATATATGCAAAATTATAATTTATTTGTAAAATAATTCGGTTTTATTACAATACTTACCAAATTTCACGCAATTAGAAAACAAATGTCAGCGAATAAGAACAAAAGGAACAACGAAAATTGAATCAATGTAGCTTGTTTAGAATTTTTTTCTAATATTTTGGGAAATGTTCAGTGAAATTAGCAAAGAAACAACACAGTTTCTCCTAAGGTAGTTCAAGATGGCGGATTAGAGCGAGAAGTTGCCGACGTATAACACCTTTCATTATTGCATCATGAATCATGCTTATATACATATACAATAGGCGTTTTTTACACGCATATACATCGACGCGTAAGGTGTAAAAAATCAAGCATCGAAATTTCCAAATAAAAACAAGTAATTTTGATTTTATCGACAACTACTCATAAGCACACATACAGGTCTATTCTGTGCTGGTAATAAAAGTTTTGTAACCGGTAAATTAAGTTCCTGTCAAATTTTAAACCCTTTTCGAATTTTGTGTACTCTTATAAGCGGTAAATTTTGTTACCATCTCATGCAATGCCAGCATTTCCACAATTCTTCATAGCTGAATTGCCGAATATTTTAACTGCATTACCAACATAACTAGAATCGTGGTGACAAGAACTGGTAACATTTTTTAGTAATAAGAAGAATAGACCTGATAATGTGTAATGCCGCAATAGTCTAAAACAAAAACGTAATTAAAAGTTTTGCAAAGGTAGGCATTATTGTTTCGCTTCACAACGCTGTTAGTCGGAGATGAGCGCGCATGTTGCTGCATAGCTGAGCGCGCATGTTGCTACATAGCTGAGCGCGGATGTTGCTAAAATCTAAACGTAATTATTGTCATCCTGCATGTATTTTGTTTTTGTACCCAAAAATGTGATATAAGCCGTTGGTTAACATCAGATCAGCATACCAAAGATCGGCAATTTCGATTTCCTATGCTTGGAGAAGCAGTGAAAAATTAACGCGAAGTTAAACGGAGTCCATCGAAAACATAATTTCCAACCGACAAAAGGAAAACTACTTCTAAAAGTTAAAATTTGTATATACATACCTATAAGGAGCGTGTGCTAGAGAGAAAACTCAGGTAGGAATGTTTAAACCATTATGTGGGCTCTATATAGAAACATAATAATTTGAAATTATCTTGCAGCGAGTGGGCTATCACGACCCACGTGGTGCATCAAAACCCCTTTGAGCCTAAACATGCGAAAACCCCGACTTTTTGCTATATTCGTAATGTATTTTCATCAAGAATAGTTCGTTTTTTTTAATAAACCAGTTAAAGTAAAATATTTCCCCTTGATAATGCTGTTTAACTCAACGAGATGTCTTGTTTTAAACCTGAGATATTGTCCATTGAATTTTATGAGTTTTGCGACATTACTTCTTTGCACAAATGCTTGAAAGATACAACACGAATGTATGTGCGCGTGCATAGAGTAAACTTATTTCGTTTAAGAATTTAACGAAGAAATGAATGCATGAGAAATTCTCTAGGAATTTCATTTGATAATATACATATAATATACATGATATATATATGATATATGATATACATGATATATAATATATGTACATGATAATATACACATACCTTCATTATGTAAATAAAGACGCCTAAACGTATACCACAAATCTGTTTCTTTTCGTGTTGTATCTTCCAAGCATTTGTGCAAAGAAGTCATGTCGCAAAACTCATAAACTTCAATGGACAATATCTCAGGTTTAAA